TGGATATTTAAGGGTCGACAGCGTGTAAAGAGTAATATTAACAGGGTTGCCACGCTACCTGGAAAACCGGGAGAACCGGGAAAAGTCAGGGAATTCGAAAATTGACCAAAAAATTCAGGGAAAAGTCAGGGAAGTATTTTTGTCAAAATCTGGAAAAGTCAGGGAAGTTCATACAATGATCCCGCCAAAAAAAGCGATTTTTGCGCCGACGTCGGAAGAGATAACTTTTTTGGCGAATTGCCTATCACGTGAGTGTCTGCTGGCATAGAGCCAATTTTCGCAGGAAAGGCAAAGCAAGTTTCCCGCAATGGTTTGGTTTCCAGTATTCTCGAAAATCGCATGTGCAGTGCATGAACTAAAGAAAGTACCTGTTCTCGTATAAAACAAAATTGGTTTAATCTTAGTATACGGTACCATGGAGGTTAGAATCAAAGAATATGTATTGTAAAGAAGGAAAACCTCTCTGCAACAGACGTGGCTCCGTTCCATCATAGAGGGAAACAGCTGTGCATGCGTGATATATCTGCCGCCAAAGCTGGAAACCGTGTCAAAGTTCGAAGGTCACGTTATCAATAGTTCATTAAATGAATATCCTTTAAAATTCTTTAACCACTTGCGCTAAAAAGACGTGCCACGCACGTCGAGATGTTTTTGTTTCAAACTGCGAGCGACGTGAACACCACGTCGATAAGCATTTATCGCAAAAATGAAAAAAACATGGTGCATGCACACGTCGCCTAACAACGAGATTGTTATTTCTCGAGTTACAGCTCTGGATTGCACTCGCAGATGCGGAGCGGCGTAAATGAATGAGACACTTTACACTTGCTATATTGTAGCGCACGGCACCGCAACCGTGAAGTTTAGTCTTAGCGCAAGTAGTAAAAGAAAATATTTTTGGCGTAAGTAAATTAATTCATAGGTTAGTAATTTTCAGGGGGGGGGGAGAAACTACGAAAATCCGTTTTTAAAATTATTGCGAAAAATCCAAGAAGAAACGTCGTTTGATAAAAGTTTGTTCTTGGTTTTTTTCGCAATAATTTAAAACGGATTTTTCATAGCTTTCTTTTTGTCAAAGAACGTTTCTTCTTAACATGTTTCTCAATTTCCGGTACACATCGCGGAGAGGGAAATTCTGGCCGCCAGGTTCCGTCGCCAAATCCCTTGGCAAATTTTTCCCTCCGCATTCTAGCGGCGTAATAGCATTTTACTTGTATGGAAAATTTTCTTCTTTACATAGACCAAAGAATTAGAGATTCTTTGCATAGACGTTTTTTGGTTAAAATAATCTCCATGTATGGATTTGGCGACATGATGATGCGCAGTAAACGGGTCATTTTGGTCTTGGCGACAATTTTCAAAATCGTGCCAAAGCCTTACCGTATACTAGAATTTTACCGCAAAATCTTTTTAAACTTTTTTTTAATAAATACCTTGCCATTTTGCCAGTAAAATAAAAAATAGTAATCTGTCATCTTGGCTAACCATGTAATATAACTATATTCGCTAAATATCGTTGATTATTCTAATTCAATTTTTAAGTAATTATCTTTATTTTATGTTTTTCGTATAATTTAATGATGCTTCTTCCCTCTAAATTTATTAATTATTAGTAAATAATATTTCTAAATTTCAGGAAATTTTCTCTGGCATAATCTTGAAATTAATTCTAGCAGTATGATGACATACCATCACGAAATTTAATGCACATATTTTTTATGTATGCTGCGAACTAAATATAAAATACCTCAATTTATTAAAATAGATTTCTTTCTTTCGTTTAGCTGCAGAATGTCTACAAAAAAAGCCTTATTTTATTCCAGATTGGGAAGATTCTAATCTCAATCTTCAATGGAGAAAACAACAACTATTATAATTATATTTGTGTTTTCAAGTGTTAAGGTGCTTTTTAAGAACATACCTCACAATTAAATTTACCTAAAATCTAACCTAACTATTTAGCATTGCGTTGTGATTTATAAGGACCGTATTAGCCTCGTGTTGAACTGGTGATGATCATGAGTAATAATTAAATAAAACATACATTTGTTATCCAATGTATATATCTTAAATTTTATTAAGTTTCTTAAGTGGAAAAGTAAAAAAAAATATCAAACTAAGTATACCAAGAATAATTAAGAATAAATGTCCTCTGGGATTTATTGAATAATTAAGTGAATTTGCTACACAATACAAGTAATACCATAATTTACCTCTTAGCGTAGCCAACGTACATTACGCGGATAGACTGGAATTTTCTTGAAACGCAACTCAAGTTAGAGAAACCTTTTGGAACTAAGTCAGGGAATTTCGATTCTCCTGTTTGAAAGTGGCAACCCTGTATTAACAAGTGGTGTGATTTGCTACAGATTTAAAGCTAAGGTCACTAAGTCAGGATATCGCTCCTTTACCAATCGAAAGAATAACAGAAGAGGCAAATCCCTTCGAAGTTGTAGGACTTTGATTTTGCTCTGGTCCTATGAGTACAAAGGATGAAACTGGGAAAGCTTATAGTTGCTCTGCATACATGCGCTGTAACCAGAGCAGTGCATCTGGAACTTGTGTCTAGCCAAACAGCAAACAATTTTCTTCTATCCTTTAGAAGATTTATTTCGAGAAGAGGAGTATGTCGAATAATATATTCAGACAATGCAAAAACCTTTAAAAGAGCAGACAACGATTTACAAAAACTATGGAATACCATCAAGGACGCAGAAGTTCAAAATTATTTTGGTAATAAAGGTATTGAGTGGAAATTCAATGCGGAGAAGGCGGCTTGGTGGGGCGGTTTCTGGGAAAGGCTTATTAGATCTATCAAGTCATTTTTGAAGAAAATACTCATGAAGGCTTCACTTAAATTTGAAGAGCTGGAAACAGTTTTAATTGAAATTGAGGCGATATTGAATTCGCGTCCACTGACGTATGTTTATAGTGAAGTTGGAGAACCAGAACCGCTGACGCCAGCTCATTTTCTAGTTGGACGAAGACTGACATCCTTACCATCTGACAAAATTCTTGAACCTGATTCAACTAAAGAAAATTTAACAAGGCGATATAAATACCGGCTAAGGTTATTAGAAGAGTTATGGAAAAGAGAATACTTACTTGAAATTAGAAACGTGAAACAAATTCAGAGAGGTAATGCCGTAACAGATCTTTTGAAAGGCTCTGTAGTTCTAGTACATGAAGAAAAATTACCAAGATTATTATGGAAGATGGGAGTTGTACAGGAGTGTCATCCAGGACGAGATGGGAAAATAAGGGCTTGCACTGTCCGTTTATCTAATGGAACTCATCTTCGTCGTCCTGTGCAGTTATTGTACCCACTAGAAATGACTTGAACTCTTTGAACTGAATACAATGAACTTAAATTGCGAACACTGCATCTATGAACATTTAAACTTGTAGTAGGGGGAAAGTAAGTTCATTGCAAAACAGTATTTCCTGGAAGCCAGTGTGGTGAAAACCTGTTTGGACTGCCTTCATTTATTATTCTGCCAAGTGGATTGCTGGCGCCAATGTTATGACTAGCTACACCGGAATGCAAGGAAAGTCTCTGCTTTTCATCCTGGCGCCAACCAAAGAACAAAACAAATGCATATTTCTTTAAAGATGTTTATTGACTAAAGGGAAAAAGGCGATGTTAAAAAAATATTTTAAAGTAAGAAATTCTTTAGTTTGGGGGTGCGGACATTGTGCGGGACACTTTTTTTTTGCATAAATTTTATATATAATGTTCGGATGCAGATATTACACAAGCGTATATGGTAATTATTTTTTTAATAATTTGGCAAGCAAAAATTTCAAAATCAAATCTTGGTAACTTAAAATTGTGAACAAAGCAACTAGTGAGAAACAAACTTTTATCTTTTCGAAACTTTTGAAAGGATAGATAACACATCAATACAGACAGGAAAAACAGAAATACTAAAAGCAAAAGAATACAGAGACCAGTAAATGAGCGGGCATATATGCAGAAAACGAAAAGCATGATATAATAATAACAAAAATTAAATACTAAGAATAGTCTCCAGCCTTTTGTTGTCCATAGGATTGTTATAACAGTAATCACAAATTTTGACGGCAGAATTATTAATTTTACCATGTCTGTCATGAAATTTACGAGTCAGATGGTAAAAATGTATCCGTAGTTGGACTATTTTTAGCTCCTCATGAATGCGATTGTCTCAACATATCAGGGCGAGTTTGTGATATGCCGCCAGGGCCGGGGCTAGATATTTTGTAGTCTGGTACAATATCTGCAGATCCTAAATTCTGGTTCTAATGCCCTTCTAAACTCTAAAAAATTTACCACTGCTAACTTTTGCTGCCCATTGTCTTCTCTAATTCCTAAAATATATTGCCATCCTTAAATTTGGCTGCTTGATGTTTCAGTAAATTCAAAAAAAATTGCCACCCCTAAATTCTACCGCTCGATACGGCCCCACCGACTGTGATGCCGTTCCTTTTGTCTGCGCAGAACACCGTTCTGAGCTGTTTGCAGTTCCTTACGATTCTTTTTACATGAATAAGCTCAAAGTGGACATGCATTACAGAGCACGGGATGCAGGATGGATTTATAAATGAGCAACTTATTGTTTACAGATAGAATGCTGTTTCGAAACAATGTGCTCCTGGTGCGAAGTTGAAAAACTGAGAAATCCGATAGAGGGGGATTCGAACACTTTACCTGCTGGTCCGCAAGAGAAATGGCTTCACATTTTACCACTCCTTTATCCTTTCTGCGGGCGGCATCAAAAATCACGAGCAACTAAGTTTTAGAAATGCTTACTCAATTATCTGCAAAAATTTCTTATCCACAATCGATAAGGTCGTGTTGCTGTTGGTTGAGAGAGATTCTATAGTAAATGCAATTTATAATCATAAATTTTGACATTTTACCTCTAAACGTTTTGTCATGGTGTCAGACAAATTTTTGCCTTATTGAACATACTTTATCCTGTAAGTATTTTATGATAAATAAACTGCCTTTTTTTTAGGCCTTTAATGATTGATCCTCAAGGTCAAGCAAATAAATGGGTAAGAAACATGGAAAAAGATAATAATTTAGCCATCATCAAACTGGCCGACGCTGATATTTTAAGAACGTTAGAAAACTGCTTGCAGTTTGGATGGCCAGTTTTGTTAGAAAATGTGGGAGAAGAGCTTGATCCATCATTAGAGCCTTTACTTTTGAAACAGACTTTCAAGCAAGGTATTTTGTTGTTGCTAAATTAAATAAGCCTATTTATTACCATTAATGTGTTACCATTAAGAAATCTATCAGCAGATATGCATATATCACAGATATGTGTTTGCATTAGTATGTATTCCATACTTTTATTATTTCATATTTTTCTATTCCAGGTACAATCGATATGGTACAATTAGGTGATTCTGTAGTTGAATTCAACAAAGATTTCCGTCTTTATATAACTACCAAATTGCGTAATCCTCATTATTTACCAGAAATTTCCACAAAGGTTTCTTTAATTAATTTCATGATTACTCCTGAAGGTCTTGAAGATCAGCTGTTGGGAATTGTTGTTGCACAGGAAAGGTATATAATTTCTTTTATATTTTCATTATCACTGGTAGAATAATTAATGTGATCTAGTAGATCGCAAATATCTTCTTGATATCACTACATTCAGGGCCGGTGTAAGGATCTTGAAACACCTGCAATTATGGAGAGCCTTGGATTTTACAAGGACTTCATCGTGCTTAAAGATTATGAAAACAACTTAAATTTTCCTCTGAACAGTAGTCATTTGTTTTAATATTTTTTAAATCTTATGTGCATTGAAATTCTAGTTCAACAGTCGACACACATCCATTGCAATGTGATAAAATTTCCAAACTTTGTCGCCCATTGTCATTTTTGTAATTTGATATTCTTTTTATTCAATTTAAACATTGACTATTTATTATGTGACAGCATCTGTATTGCCTTCTCCATTTATACTGTTTTGATACACTTAATAATTCGTTAACTCTCTGTACCGTTACGGCACCATTTATTTTATCATGCTGTGAGCGGTACCATTGTTACGTACCGAAGCACGGTACCAGTAATAAATATCATTCAAAACCAGTTCAATAAGTTTTCCAAGTACTAAATGAAATTTTATAACTCAAATACTTTATTAAACTCAATTTAACCAAAACCTTTAATTTAAACCGAAAATAGAAGAGTACTACAGTAAGTTAAGTATTACCCAGTTCTGGCCCATGGGAATGCCCATGCAAGAGAACCATTAATTAAATAATACGATGGTAAAACAAGTAATAGAGCAGAATAATTTAAGCTTATTAGTATTAATTTATTTTAACTTTCGGAACTTGATTAGGTTGTAGGGTTTAGATTTATTTTCACTAACATTTATTTTAAGTTTAAACTATCTTTCCTATCAAGCCTTACTTTCCCCTGGAATTGCCAATGCCAGAGTATGTAAATTTTAGTAGAACGCGCAAGGATTCAAATTGTCAGCGGAAGTAATCTGAGTTAAATAGAAGGGAAACGAGTTCGAAAGTGTGCTTTCTTGCTTCACGAGCGTGGAGGTGGCTAGTTAGAAATTGAAGAACCACGCGTTTCGGCCTGTGTGCTTGCCTCGGCAGATTGTTAATCTTTCAACGTAATATTCAGAAGTTTGCTGAATTATCAGCGGTATCTTAGAACGCGGTGAGGTTAGTTACGTTTAGAGAGCCTCGTAGTTAGTCACTTGTTATTATTCTTTTTTAGTTTCTTATTTTTTTTTTACCGCCGGGTCGGCGTAGTTTGTGAGCGTCAAGAGCACGCATTTGTAATTTCTAAAGTTGAATAAAAAGGGATTTAAACCCTTCTCAAGACTTTGTCTACTTTCCAGTTCTTAGCAGTCACCACTATTGTTGCGTGCAGGTTGGAAGCGCGCAACATTACATTGGCGCCCGAACACTTGTCGAACTGAAATGGCCGAAAATTGGATGGAAGCTTGCTGGACAACAACAAGAAATGGCAAGCCAATTGGAAGGATTTGGATACCTGGTCCAGACGATGAGAGCGTCAATCAAGCCAAACGTCAATTTCGACGGAAAAAATTCGGTGGCGATATTTCTAGAAGGCCTCGAAAATCACTTCCAGCTCTACCCTGTGCCTGAAAGACAAAAAGTTGCCATCGCCACATCTGCACTAAGAGGACAGGCCGCGCTATGGTGGAAGAATATAGGCAAATTTTTATTAGGGGAATTCGGAGGCCAGACATATACATTTGAAAATTTCAAAAAATCGTTATTAAAGGCCTTCCCCATAGTGAAAGATCGAGCAAGGCTAGAAGCCGAACTATATAGTTTTTATCAACGGAATATAGAAGAGTTGACGGACTTTATTCTGCGAAAAATTAAGCTGACGGATATGCTGTATGGGAAGAAACCCGACGCGGAGATTATTGAAATAATCTTACCAAGATTGTTACCTGCTGTTCAAGACTACTTCGAAATTAGAAACCCAAGCACATTGCAGGAGCTCTTCGAATTGGCGGTCAAGTTCCAAAATCGCAGAATAGCGGAAAAAGCTAGAGGGGCATCGTATTCTCAAAGTATCCGAAGGCAATCTTCAAATGAGCAGACCAGAAATGCAAACCGCTCTTATGGGGGAAAGAGCTATCAAGCTAACTCATCGAAGCTCGAAGGTCAAGGCCCAAAAAGGAAATTTGAAAACAACCGTCCGCGTACCCAGAAGGCAGAAGTTGAAAGGAAAGCTTTAAACGAGTAGAGGGGCCTGTGAAAGCGAGGGTCCAGACCCCGGAAGTTTTGAAAAAACCCTCAAGAAGACACTTAAATACGGTCATCGTAAAGAACTCACAGTTACCAATTATACAAGTCCTGGTTGGCGATGTACCAGTAGAAGCCCTCATCGATACAGGAGCAGAAGGTAATTTTATGAGTGATATTTTTTTTAAGAAGAATTTTAATAGGTTTCGATTATTTAAAAATAAAAACACAGAAATCATAGCAGCGCAAGGACAAACTTGTCATTGTATTGGAAAACTATCTTTAAAAATACAAGTTCAAAACGAAAGCCTTAAAGTATTAATTTTTGTAGTAAAAAAACTTGCAAAATCCACTTATTTTAGGTATGGAGTTTTTAAAAGCCGCGAAGGCCAAACTCAATTTTCAGGAAAGTTCTATCGTGCTGGAGATGGATCGGAGGGTGGTGGAACCAGTGGAACAACCGCAAGTTGACCTTAGCCATTTGAATGACCATGAAAGCCAAGCCATCCAGCAAGTGGTGAGTACTTTTTCAAACTTGTTTTCAGAACGGCCTGGTAGTTGTCAAATAGTTACGCATAAGATACAGTTAACTGCCGACCCCTGCAGGACTAAACCTTACCGCTATGATAAACAAAAAGACATAATCATAGAAGAACATATTCAGGGAATGTTAAAGAACAAAATAATAACGCCCATAAATAGTGAGTACGCGAGTCCAGTCGTACTATGTAGGAAAAAGAACGAGTTTCCTCCTTCGGATAAAAGGGCTTGGAGGTTTGCTATCGATTACAGAGAAAATACTTAATAGTATTACTAAATTTAGTTTACCTTTGCCGGTTATAGAGAGGAAATTATTAGAAAGATTAAATCTACAAGATACATGACTACTTTGACTTACGTTGACTACAAATAGCTACTGAGATACCGAAAATAGCTATAAGACACAATAAAACCGTTTATAACAAATCGGTTATAACAAAATATGGCACTTATGCATTTTACGCATGCCATTTGGGTTGTGTGAGGCCCCATCAACATTCCAGAGAGCTATGGACATTGTTCTAAAGCCTGTCCTAGGAAAATCGACTTTAATCTATCTAGATGATATAATTATAACGAGTAGTACGTTGGAACAACATATTAAAGATCTAGAAGAAGTTTTTAAATTATTAAAAGAGGCCGGTCTTACAATTAACGCCTCAAAATGCAAGTTCGCAACTAAAGAACTTAAATATCTGGGTTATAAAATTTCGCAAAAGGGTATAGAAACTCAAGATTCAAAAATAAAAGCAATCAAGAATTTCCCACCTCCCAACACCGCCAAGAAACTTTCTTCTTTCCTTGGGTTATGTTCTTATTATCGGTCCATTCATAAAAGATTTTGCTAATATTGTTGAACCCTTGTTAGTAATTAAAAGAAAGAAAAGTAAATTCACGTGGACAGCAGAAGCAAATACCGCATTTGAAAGGTTAAAAGAAGCGCTCATCAATGCCCCTGTTTTGAAATTCCCGGAGGGGGACGAAAACCTGGAAATTGCAGCAGATGCGTCGGACTATGCTGTGGGTGCGGTTCTTATGCAAAATGGCCATCCTTTGGCATTTTTTAGTAAAACGTTGAATCATACACAAAGGAATTATACAGCTACAGAGAGAGAAACATTAGCCGTATTAATGGCTGTACACAAATTTCGAGTTTATTTCGGCAAAGCGCCAGTAACAGTCTTTTCGGATCATGCGGCTGTTGGTAGACTTTACTCGGGGAAAAAACCTAACGCCCAGGTTAATAAGATGGGCTTTAAAACTCCAAGAATATAATCTCATAATCAAATATAAACCGGGTAAGGAAAACAATGTAGCTGACGCACTTTCTCGTATAAAACTGGACGATGAAGGAAATGAACTTAAATGCGCTGTGTTGACTTCAAAAATTTTAGATTCTAGAGATACAATTATTGCTGAATTGAAAGCTGATCCTGAATTTGGAAGTATCTATGCATATTTGAAAGACCCCGAAAGCTTTGAGCACACAGATATCGATGCGATAAGAAATAGAGCAGAAAACTACGAAATAATAGATAATTTTATATTTTTTATACGAAAACAACAAACGAAAATCTCGAGTACAAACCAGTCATCCCAGCCTCGCTTCGATTAAGCATCTTGAAGGAATTAGACGACGCGAAAACAGCGGGTCATTTAGGGGTCAGAAAGACTTTAAAAAGGGTACGCGAGGCGATATATTTCCCGCAATTATACAAAATAGTAACTGCGTATGTCAGGTCCTGCAATCAATGTCAGTTAATAAATGATATTAATTACAGCCCGGCCGGGTACTTAAATAGCATTCGCGCTACATTTCCGAATGAAATTTTAGGCATAGATCTTCTTGGTCCTTTCCCCCAGAGTGAGTTAAATAAAAATCGTTTTCTTTTAGTAATTGTAGATCATTTTTCAAAATGGACAGAAATTGTTCCACTTAAACGCGCGTCAGCCAAAACAGTCGCAGATGCATTCTTACACAGATACATTTTAAAATACGGTGCACCGATAAAAGTCATTAGCGATAACGGTAAACAATTCGTTAGCCAAATATTTGAAAACATATTGCACTGGACTTGGCATACGCCATATCAAAATGGTTCCGTATAGACCACAGGCAAACATAGCAGAAAGAGTTAATAAAAACATTGTAAAAATAATTCGAAGTTATGTTAGCACACATCACAAAGCGCTGGGATGGCTACATAAATGAGTTAGCTTATGCTTTAAGAACGGCAAATCACGATACTACGGGAAAAACCCAGCAGAATT